AAGTATGAAATCCTAGAGAAAACAAACATTTAGCATCTTCCCTTAAGAGAATCTATTGAAGACAAGTATTGAGAAGTAACATTCAAATAAGAAAATTCCAAGCAGAAAGTAGTTGATATGAAACGCACACACAAAAATCCAAGAACTAAAAAGATAAAATGTAAAATTTAGCAATCAGATTGGTGGTTTGTGACACATATCAGAGCTATTTCAGTGGAAGGATGAGAGTTAAAAGTTCACAATTGGTTACCCTGGCCAATGTGACTCAGTTGGAGCATTGGTCCACACACTCAATCAAAAGTTGTGAGTTTGATTCCTGATCAGGACACATACCTGAATTGTGTATTTGATCCCCAGTTAAGGGGGTGCAGGCAACCAATCAATGTTTCTCTCTCCTTTCCCCTCTCTCTAAAATCAATAAAAGATAACAATGTCTTACAGTGAGGAGGTAGAAAGAGCAAGTACATATTGATCATTTAAGAAACTAGGATGAGAATAGAGGGAACCCAGAGCTAAAGAATAGTTTTTTTTGTTTATGTTTTAAAGGATGAAAAGAACTCAATAAGGAAGGATGACAGGAAGAGCCTATAGAGAGGGAGGACAGGACAGAGAGCAGTTAAACGAGGGAGCCAGATCTTTTAATACGGTTTCTGAGCATCTCCTTCTGGATGTCTCATAGATATCTCAATACCGAAAGTCTAAGAATGTTCTTACCTTTTCCCTGCAGCCTGAGCATTTCAGCACTGTATTCATATCAGTAAATGGCACCCCACGTAATGTGGTGCTTATGAAGCCTAGAATCCTCCCTGACCTCCTCTACATGCAATCCACCATTTCTACCCTTCAACATTTCTCAAACTGTCAACTTTTCTCTACTTCCACCACCCTTTTAAGAAACTATCATCTCTTACCTGTGCAATAGGTTCCTAACTGGCCTCACTGTATCAGCCTTATTGAATTGAGGCTGATTCAGTCACCAAAGTTATCCTTTTATTGCCCAAATATGATCATGTCACTCTGCTTAAAAATCCTTTATGGGTTTCCTATCATCTATCTTTCTACCCCCTGTATGACTTCACCTCATGGCTATCTCTCTGGCCATCCTCCTCCTCTGTTCTCTCCACTCCAGCTCCACTGGCCTTGTCTCTTGGCATATCCTCCTCCCACCGTGGAGCTTACTTAATTCCTCATCATCCTTATAATCTTGCATTAAACATCATAGCACTAGAGAGGACTATGTTCTTCTGTTGTTACCTCCAGAGTTCCCTGTCTTTCTTCTTCAATGCACATGTCACACCTATTAATTCATTAATAACTTATATAATAATTTAATTGTCTTTTCCACCAGACTGCTAACTTCTAGGGGATGCAGAAGCTGTGTGTGTCGTGCTTAATGCTTGGTGCCTGGAACATAGTAGACTCTTAATATAACTTCTTGAATAAGAAAAATAAATGAATAAAAATTAACTAGGATCCCAGCTGGCATGGCTCAGTGGCTAAGCGTTGACCTATGAATAAGGTGGTTACAGTTCTATTCCCAGTCAGCACACATGCCCAGGCTGCGGGCTCGATCCCTAGTGGGGGGCATGCAGGAGGCAGCCGATCGGTGATTCTCTATCATCAATGTTTCTATCTCTCTTTCATTCTTCCTTCCTCTCTGATATCAAGAAAAATATATTTTAAAAAATTAACTTTGAGCAGGAAAAGGGACATTTCTTCTTGAGACTGAAGAAAATAAAGTAAGGTTGGCTATAGGTACAAATACGCTGAAAAGTAGTTACGGTGGCACTAAGTAAGAAAGAAATGGGCAGTTTAGAAAATTCTAAACATTTTGCAGTTCCATTTTTTTTTGCATGGGCAGGTGCTGAGATAAGAGGAAGAACAGTGTTTGAGTCAAGTATGGTCAAGGTATAAAGTGATTGCTGAAAGGACGTGAGAGAGGAAATTGCAACTTGACTAAGAATTAGTAAATGACTGTTTATGTGATAGATGTTTCCACAAAGGTGGAAACCACAATACAAAAATTTACTAAATCTACTGAATGAAGGATGGATTTCTCTGTGAAAGTTCTAAATACTATCAACTTTATTCTTTCAAAAACATAAAAGTGTCTGATTTGACTATTAAAACTTTGCCAGTAGAATTTATTAATAAAATTAAGAGTGACCTGCCAGCTGGTGTGGTTCAATGATTGAGTGTGGACCCATGAACCAGGAAGCCACTGATTAGATTTCATGTCAGGGCACATGTTTAGGTTTGTGGGCTCAATCCCCAGTAGGAGGGCATGCAGGAGGGAGTCGATTAATGATCACTTAGCTTTTTGTGTTTCTACCTTCTTTTCCCTCTCCCCTCCTCTCTCCCTCTAAAAATCAATAAAAACATATTCTTAAAAAGAATGACTCATATTTATAAGTAACTTGATTATTCAAAAATATCTGAAAAACCTGCCAACATTTTCTTCTATCAAGTTCTTTTACGTAATCTTTTAATTACACAATTAATTTGTTTCGAAAGTTATAAAGGCAAACAGATAGCATAAAGGCAAACAATTTTTCTCTTTCTTAATATAAATGTCTTATTGGTGGGATCCAAATGAATGTTTTTTGATTCCCTAGGCCAGTAGGTAAGATATGAACTGCCACAAAAATCCTACCCAGTCTGCAAGTACCCTTCACCACTCTTTCTCTCCCCCCTCCTGCCTTCAGTACCGTATCAGAGATTAAATAGCCTTTCAATTGATTAAATAATAGCCTTTCAATTAAGTAACTTTTGCTGCTAATGGCCACTTCCTGAAAATAAGGTAATTCTGGGCTCACCTTCCCTCCAGGTGGTGCTCCAGCTCCAATTTGAGAGTTTGAGCAGAGACAGCTTGCCTTATAATTATAAAATATAACAACTTCGTCTGCCTTATTTCTTGGTATTACCTTTTCCACACTTTTCCTCACCTAATTCCAGAATACTTTCTGACTAGATAAAATTCTAGCACTATGTGGCCAATACAAAGATTCTCTGTAGAATGACCAAGAATGGACTTCAGCAAGAGTGTAAAAAAAAAAAAAACCCCTCTTGTTCTCCTTCAAAACAGGTGTCTGCTCCTTCTCTTCTTTGAGGATCCCCCACTATCTCCTTGTCCCTGCAAATGGTGGCTTCCACTCCCATGCCATTGCTGTCATTCCAGTTCTCTACAGCCTGTAAAGGAATGCCTCCTGAGGCACTAGCAGAAGTGTGCTTCTCTTAACTCAGGATTATTTGTCTTTTTATTTTAAATGTTTTTTAATTGATTTTTAGAGAGGAAGGGAGAGGGATAGAGGTAGTGACATCAATGAGAAATATCACTGATTGGCTACCTCCTGTAGACCCTCTCTAATGGGGATGGAGCCCAAAATGGGGGCATATGCCCTGACTGGGAATGAAATCAGTGACCTTTTGGTTCATGGGTCAACCAACACTCAATCACTGAGCCACACCAGCTGGGCTATTTGCCTTTTTAAAAAGCCCCTTTAATACAGAAAAATCCTTCAATGCACTATTGTTGTAGATATACTGATATTCAGAGGAATTGGGACCTTTACTCTGGCATAGAAACAGGTTAGCAAGAAAACATAAAAGCTACGTATGCCACAAAGGGAAATGAGAGGAAAAGTGATCTTAACTACTTTGCTTTTTTCCACCAGAGTGTTCCTAACTACAATCTGATAGTGGGCTTCATTAATCAATTCACATCAAGTATCCTTAAAGGGTAACAATCTGTCTGCAAAAGGTTTGCTCCTTATGCACCCAGCACCACTCCCAAATCCATCCATGAAAACTGTATTTCACAAAGAAGATAATAAAGGAAGATCCTTGTTCACCTCTTTGGAAAGGCTGCTAAACTCTGGTCTTAACCCTTAAAAAATGAGGCCAGAACAGTCAATTTGCAGACCTTACTATATCCCAAATTCAACATGACAAAATGAACCTTCTCATTATCCATACCTATGAGCCCACACTTTGAAGGGGTTTTTGAAACAATGTGGTACAAACCTCTTACTATACACTAGTGGCCCTGGTGCAGGAAAGTCATGCATGGGGGAGGATAGACAGGGGAACCCACACCCTCTCCAATCTGGGACATCCCTCTTGCAATACGGGACCACTGGCTCCTAACTGCTCACCTGCCTGACTGCCTGCCTCATCACCCCTAACCATTCTGCCTGCCAGCCTGCTTGTCCACAATTGCTACTGGCCTTCTCGCCTCCAATTGCGCCCCCCTCCCCTGCTAGCCTGCTCATCCTCAACTGACCCCCCTGCTGGCCCAATCACCCCCAACTGTCCTCTCTGCTCCACAGGCTTGCTCGCCCCAATGGTCCCCCCAGTTAGCCTGATCACACCCAACTGCCCTCCCGACCTGGCCCGATTGTCCCTAACCACCTCTGCCTCAGCCCTGCTGCCATGGCTTTGTCCGGAAGGACATCAGGAAGGTCTCCTGCTCTAATTAGCATTTTACCCTTTTATTACAATAGTATAGAAGATGAGGAACGTGAATTTCACAGCAGAACCTATTTCTTTATCATTTCTATGACCCACTGACTCTCTTTTCACTTTGTTAATGCAAAGATGTGGTTACTAGATATCCCTACACATTATTCCTGGGTAAACCTTAAATATAAAATAATTCTCATTAAATATATGCAAAGATTTCCTTCATATCACCTATAATTCCTTAAACATTTACTTAATGAAGTTTTAGAAAAAGATTCTTTCATGTACTGATTTTACAAAGTTAATTTTAAGATCAGTAAAATACAGAAAAATATAGATCATGACAAAGATATTAAATTACTCAAGTCTGGATTTATGATAGTTCATAAAACAAGGATTTCAGTATTTTTAATGTTCTATGATAAGCTCTAATAAAAATTAAAAAACAGACCCTAAAATTTCTTGAATTGAGAATATACTACTCTAACCTTTATCAAAATAGTTCAGCTGCACAAATGAAATAAGTTTATTATACGTACTTAAAGCTCTAGAATGATCCGGATTCCTTATTCCCTTTGCTCGTAACCTCTGAAGAAGAACTGTTGAGGACAACTGTTTTACAAGATAGACTGCCATGGAATAGTTCTGGAAAAAAAAAAAGATGTAGAACACAAACAACATATGTAAGTATTACATATATTTTAATCCCACAGTGATAGGGAAAGAAAACTAATTCTTGTTAAAACACCTGCTGTGTGTCATATACTACCTTAGATGTTTTCATGAACAGTAATTCATTTAATCCTAACCAAAAAGCTGCTGAGGTGGTCATAAAACTACTCTGATGGATGAGGAAAGTGTAGCGTACAGAAGTAAAAGAACTTGCCCTAATTTTGCAACTTTTAAGCGATAAAGCCAGGTTTCTCATGCTCCTATATTAACTAACTACTTATGCTTGAAGCTAATCAATTTAAAGCATGTATGTAAACCAACACCAACCCTGGATGGTGTGGCTCAGCGGTTGAACATCAACCCAGGAACCAAGAGGCTACCGGTTCGATTCCTAGTCAAGGCACATGCCTGGGTTGTGGACTCAATCCCCGGTGGGGGCTGTATAGAAGGCAGCCGTTGGATGACTTCCTCTCTCATTGATGTTTCTATCTCTCTATTCCTCACCTTTCCTCTCTCTCTAAAAATCAATAAAAATATATTAAACCAAAATTAAACCAACACTAATATGGTATATCAAAGTCATCATGAACCAGAAGGTAATAGATCTATGTAAAATAGTGCTTATTTGAAAAATTACAAATTAGATTGGCTTCCTAACCTAAGTCTAATTAAACTCTCTCCACGCCTTTAACTGTTCTTCAAAAAATCCTACTTGGTTCATTATCACAACAAGCAGAGGGAATATTAAATATTTTCAACAAGTAGCTGCTAGTTTGGGAAATGAACAGATGAATATCCATTACCCGCAGATGGACCACCCAGATATGGAAGAAGGAAAGGGGGACAAAGAAAATAGTTAATCAACAAGCCAAGGCAGAGTGAAGGGCATGTGACTGAGTAAGAGGAAGAAAGAAGGGCGGAGGCTTATGAAGGGTAAGAAAGACAAATGAGAAGGCCCACTTTCCATTTGATGTTGGAATCAAGAGTAAGATCAAGAGACTTGGAAAGAAGCAAAAGAAAAAATAGTTACTGCCATGTTCTATCTTACACTTACAGTTTTCAAAGCACTAAATATATACTATCTACTTCATTTAAACCTTGCAGAAGGACTATTAAGAAATCAGTAAGGTAAGTATATTTCTAAGTGAAGGGTTGAAACAAAGGCACAAAAAGGTAAGTGATCTGCTCATGCTCATGCTCATGCATCTGCCTGATGATAGAGTCGGCACTAGAAACCAAGAGGAAAGACTAGGGATGTCAGGAGAATGGACTTAATAGCCAAGGCCAGTATACTTCTCTGCAGTTCTTACTTTCACAAACCCTGTTTGCTTTGACTCTCTTAACCTAGTCCAAAGTACATTTCAACTTTCAGTTACTTCCACAGTTTTAAAAATGCTTTCCCTAACTTTTTTGGCAACAATTAGAGCTCAGGAACCTATCCACGTTCACATGTTCCAGGGGGAAAGATAAAGTGTCAAAGCTAATTTACTTTCACTAATAAATTTAAAAATTAATGAGGTACAGGTAACCTTAAAATTTACCTAAATTTTAAGCATACAACGTACCAATCTAATATTAAATTGAAAGGCTTCTTTTAGGGGAAAAAAAAAAAATCCTTATTCACCTTTATTATTTATTTGATTAATGTTTCAAATATGATAAAAACTAGAGAAATACTAATTAACACTGTGAAATTATGTACTGACAGCTTGAATCTTCAGAACTAGGGATTACCCTAAGGCTTTATATAAAATTTTAGAGAAAGATCAAGTAAAAACCACAACTACAAGTTCAGTGAAAAGGTATGCTCACTCTAGTTGAAACATGTACCCAAATAAGAAAAAGAAAAAAAAAAAGCAGCAATAGGAAAAATAACATCAGATATTAACAAATGCCACTTGTACTGAATTAAAATTTATACCACATGAAGGAAATTCAGTAGTAAACCCCCTAAAACTTAATGGTGGTCCAGTATCTCTTCTAGGTAAATTATTCCAACTAGCCCTTCAAAGTACTACCTAACTCCAACTATTAATATATATATTAATCTACCTAATATATATATATATATATATATATATATATATATATATATATATGGTATATATAGCATTACACTGAAGTTTTTGTCAAATGCTTTTCAAAAGTCTTCAAAACTGTCTATCAAGTTCATAGAATATTTTCGCCATCTATAATAATAAAAGCGTAATATCCAATTAGACCAGACCTCCCTCCAGAGGACCTTCCAGACAAAGCTGGGGCTGCTAGGGAAGCCCGGTCTGGGGTGCCAGCAGCCAGGGGAAGGGAGGCCTACTCTTGCACAAATTTCATGCATCAGGCCTCTAATAATTAACAAATAATCTACCCCATTAAGTGTTCTTTATACCAGTATCTAAGTAACTTCTCTACAATAAGCTTTTAATAAATGCTAAATGCTGTGACTACCTGATGTAGGATAAGAAGTTACAATACAGTATTTTTATAAGTTGAATTAAAACTAGTGACAACCTAAATTATCTTTTGGACTTTCAACATTTTACTTCAAAACAAAGATCTCCAACATGTAGATGGGGGTCTACACAAGGTCTTACCTTGCCTGGTACACCTTCAAACCACTGAAAATACTGTCTACTATCTGAGTATGGGAGGCTCAGAGTTATCTTATCCCCCCCCTCTTTTGGTGTTACATATCAGCGACCACATTTCTCTTCTCTCCCACGGTGTCAGCCTTGTGTATAGTTCACTCTAAACACCCTGGTGTTTACTACACTTCCCTGCTAGATTATCCTTTTCACAGAGAGACAAAAAAACAAACATTTCAATACCCTCTTCGAAAATGGCAAAGGAAACAAATATAATAACCATGACAGATGTAAAAAAAAGATTTTGATAAAATTCAAAATCCATTTCTCACAAAGATATCCAGTAAAAGAGGAATATAGGGATACATCAGATATAATTAAACTTATCAAAAACTAAGTTATTATAATACTTAATGTTATGACACTAGTAGTACTCTCATTAACATAAGAAATAAGTGAAGAAATGTCCATCAGCACTCATGTTATTTGACATTGTTTTGAAGGTTCTAGCCAGCACAACAGAACAAGAAAATATGGCATAAGTATTAGGATTATCATTATTTGTATAACGATGCATCTCAAACTAAAAATTACCTACCCAGACACCAAGAAACCAACTAAAAAGCTACTGAAACCAATATATGAGATTCGGCATTAAGTAAATATTCAATAATAATTGGCTTTTAAATAAGTCAACAATAAATAAGATTTAGGGGAAGTAATACAGGAGTACATCTCACTCTCTGCGATTACTTCTCCTTAAAGCCCCTATTTCCTCACTCTCAGCCGACTTACCTCACTTCCTATCCCACAAACATAAACAAGTAATCAAATCAGAACTTACTCACCTCTCCAGTATCAATGATATACCTTATCTAGTCCTTTTATTTTCCAATATATAAAGCTGTGCCTCCTAACTATCCTGTGTTACGAGGCAGTTTACTATTGACTATCCTTTCTGTTTCTCTTGTGTACTTACGGTAACCTCTTCCTCTCAAAAGGGAGAGTCTTTAAAACATGTTAAAGACTCTCCCAATAAAATAAAAAATACTTTTCACATCTCCCTCCAGCCACACTTCTATAACTCACTCTCTCTACTGCCTCCTCTCCCCCTGGTCGCCATCTGGCTTCTCCTCCCACCATCCACCAAAAGAGCTCCTGCTAAATAAAGCTGCCTTTACATTACTAATCCAAAGGGCATCTTTTAGACTTCAATATTCTTGATTTCTCAACGTCTGTTCACTACTCCTCACCATCTCCTTCCTTTTTGAAACCCTTAGCTTCTCATACTCAACCTCTCAGGCTCATTGTGTATGTTGCTTGTCCCCATTCTCTGCACTCTACCCACAGTGTCTCCCTTTCAGTTCCTTGGAAACAGCTTTTGTGCTGTTGTGCAGGCTGTTTCCTTTGAACCTTTTGCCTGATTCCTTTTACTCTTCTCTCAGCTCTTGGCTCTGTAACTACTTCATCACGGAAGCCCTGCCTGACCTCTCTCTCTCTAGTTCACAATACCCTTTAATGCAATCTAAAAATCACCACACACCTCTCCTTTATAGTACTTAAGATAAACAAGTTCACCTTTTTGTGTGTGACCACCTGGCCCCTGGATTTAAGGCTCCAAAAGAGCAATACTTTTTTTTCCTTGTAGAGTGCATGCCATACAGTAAGCATTCAATAAATTTCAAATGAATTAGTGAATAGATATGAGCGCATATCATAAAACTGAAAGAATAAAAAACAATGAAATTGTTCCAGAAAAGGAACAATATTTAAAAAGTTCATTAACATACCCAGGATAAATAAAAATCAAATATTGATGACTTCTCAATTGGCATTTATTTAGTGGTATTAGAACACAACTGTCTGATTAAAGGTGAAAGTAAATTCTTATTTCATACCACACATAAATTTATAATGGATTACATATTTAAGATAAAACAAGAAAACTTCAAAATTCTAGAAAAATATAAAGAAGTATTTATGTAATCTTGAGAAGGGCTGATAGACTAAGCAAGCATTAATGGGGGCGAGGGGCAAACACTATAAAGGAAAAAACTGGCTCCATAATAATTTAAATCTTCCATACATTAAATCTTCCACATAAATAAAAATAAAAGGCATACAAACTAGAAACTAATATTTGCAACATGTCAAGGAAGTGTTAAGTCTTAATATATTAAGAATTTATAAGTCAATAAGAAAAACATCAATAGAAAAATATGTGTGATTTTAAAATGTAAATAATCACAAACACAAAGTATGTTAAATGTCAGTAATAATAAAAGGAGTATTAATTAAAGCAATGTGGTGCCATTATTTACCTATTAAAATTGATAGAGTTTTAAAAAGATAAAATTTATATTGACAGGGTATGAATTAATAAGCATGAATAAACATTGGAAGTCAGAGAATTTGTACATCTTTTCATAAGGCAATCTATTAATGTACACAATATTTCTTAAAATTCTGTATGCTCTTTAACTTAGTAATTCCATTTCTGGAAATTTACTCTAAGGAAATTATCATGTCCATATGCAAAACTATAGCTACTAGTGTGGCCTTTAAAATGTTCTTTGAAATAGCAATGAATCATTCAATAAATCAAATACCTGCTCAACAATTGGGAATAGGCTAAATTATAGCATTTTCAAATTAAAATATAATATAGTCATTTAAAATCATGTAGATGAATATATAATGACATAGGACGACATTTATGATAAACTGCTGAGTAAAAGGGTCAGGTTATAAACACCAGATACTTCACAATCCCATTTTTTAAGTGGAAACATATTGAAAATTCATTGAGACAAAAACTAGAGACCCGGTGCACAAAATTCATGCACAGGGGTAGTGTCCCTCAGTCCAGCCTGCACCTTCTCCAATCTGGGACCCCTTAAGGCCAGGCCTCAACGGGTGGTTTGACATCCCTCTCACAACCCAGAACTGCTGGCTCCCAACTGCTCACCTGTTTCTGCCTGATTGCCCCTAAGTGCTTTTGCATGACAGCCTGATCACCCCCTAACCACTCCCCTGCCAGCCTGATTGACACCTAACTGCTCCACAGCTGGTTCAATTGCCCCTAATTGCCCTGCCCTGCAGGCCTGGTCACCCCAAACTGCCCTCCCCTGTAGGCCTACCCCCCATCAACTGCCTCCCCTACAGGCCTGTCCCCACCCCCAACTGCCCTCCCCTTTAGGCCATGTTGTGGCAGCTATCTTTGACCACATGGGGGCAGCCATCTTATCTTGGAGTGATAATCAATTTGCATTACTCTTTTATTAGATAGGATAAGTCCCTTTGCCAATCATTTTGCAATATCATTCACATATAAACTCAAGTAGCCATGGAGATTAACCCTTTCTTATAAAAAAAAACACAAAAAAACTTAGTAGAAAAAAAAATTAACTTACTCTTCCAATTTCTGCAGTCCAAGAAACAACAATGGTGTTTGGTACTGTTGTGGACAACCGGACAAGTGAGGTGATATTAATTGGTCGGCTGGGTCGCTTTGGTTCCACACCATTTTTAGTAGGTGGAAGATAACCCTACAGATGAAATATAATTTATTCCTATTTATTATCTCTACAATTTCAATTTCCATTTTTTTAAAAATCCTAATAAACTATGTACTAGAATATATGAATATTTCCATTAAAAAGGAGAAGCAAACGTTTACAAGTTTCCCTAAATAACCCTGTAATCTCATTATAGTAAGTTTGAGAAAAATACTGGTGATAGATCTCAAAAACCTCTAAAATTAAAGAAAGAAGATGAATTCATAAAGAGCTCAGGTAAGTATATAAGGAATATTGGAAAGTTGACACTCTCTCCCTCTGTTTAAGGCATGGTATTCTTCTACTCTTCCACAGGCTTCCAGGTGCACATGAATACAGTTGAGGTTTTGTTGAAACACTTATTCTTCCAAAATCCAGTACAGTACTAAAGATACCACACCTAACTCCAAGTCCTAGATTTTGTCTCCACAGCCAATGTCACAGCTGTTAATTATACATAGTTGGTACAAGTGTTTCACTCAGTGAATATATATCCAAAATAAAGATGTTTCCTTAATGAAAAACTATAATTAACAACAGCTGTGGTGACTTAATTGATAGCTATGTTGGCAATGCATTTTAAAAAATAGCTTTTAAGACTTACAGGAAGGCTGCAAGGTTTTGTATTCACTTTCACACAAAGGTTGGGTGGGAAATGATCTTCTTGTGGACAACTGGTTTCTGATAAACAAAACCTAAACAATAAAGAAAAGTTTAATTTCCTTTATTAAAGGATGACCTCATTATTTTTAAGTAGCTAAACTAAAAGATAGCCAAACTTAATTTAAAAAATGATCAAACCAGACACTTCAAAGAATGAATAAGTATATTTAAACAGGTTTAAGAGAAATAGTTCTGTAAATGTAGAGTTTCAGTGACCATGGCTATCAACCTGTTGTCGTCTGCATAATGCTTCCAATCCCAAGTATGTTCAAAGGTAATGGGGAAGAGGAGGTGGGGGGATGAGGTTTTGTAGTTGAATAAATTTAAGCAATTCTGAATCAAAAAATAACATTAGGTTTCCTTAATATAGAACTTCTCAGAACTAGGGTAACATGCACTATAACTTTTTAAGAGGGAAATATAATACACACTATTTCCCAACTTCATTTGCCTGTGAAACTTTGTGTGTTTTTTTGTTTTTTTGTTTTCAGTGGAATGTTTTAAGTTCATCCCAGAACTAATTCTATCCACTAATCAAGGCACTCCATTATTCCCGGAGAACTGAAGATGTTGAATAATATTACTTATCATATATCCACATGTATTTAGAATACTATTTTAGAAACTCATGAAAATATTTATTTCTAAATTAAATGCATATAACCTTTTGGGAAAACTCAACGCAACTATATAATTTATAAATTCTCACTCTACTCATTTTTATATAGATCAAGAAATAAATTATTAATTTACTATTTAACCCATCTGTTCTTAATTACTTCCTTATTCCCAATACACAGATGAGGCTCATTCCTCTCCACCTTTCTATCTCAGACCATTTTGGTTTTTGTTCACCCGAGACACTAAGTTCCTTATCTACAGTAGTTTGCCGCTTATGCAGAAAAAGCCTTTGATCTCATAAAACTTGGTATTTCTAGAGAGCTGGCCACTGTATTTAAACATATCATTAGCTGGAGCTTCTCAACCCACTAAGGGGTAACCAAAGTGGAAATGTGGTTAGATATGTAATAAATGATTTACTGTATTAAAATCTAAACTGGATAAAAATTAGGGCATTTCATAACAGAAGGTTTCCCCTTGCCCAAACATCTAAACCCAATATTTTTAATATATTTAAAATTAGGCAAGTTAAAAAATTTCTTTACAGAATATTAACTTTTAAACTTTGCATATATACTGTAGTTAACACTGTACCTTAACTGGACCTGCACTGTGAAGTCACATTTGGTCCCAGAAATATCCCTAGAAAAGACAGAATAAGAACTACAATTATTTTTAAAATATGCAGATGAAAGCTGACTCAAAGACACTGTTACTACTCCAGAAAGTTCTTCAAATTATCAGATACAACTGTTTTAAGGGTAACTAATACTATAATAGTATTTTTAAAACTATTAATTGCATGACATTAATGCCTAATTCACTTATAGACTAAACTGGATTTAAAAGCCAAGCTGCAAGTTACACTTGAAGACAACTTACATTGAACTACTGATTTGCTGCACTTGTTGTGGTGTCAATGCAAATGCAAAACAGGTTTCTCGAAAGCGTTGACTGTTGTCTGATGCTAAAGAAAAAAAAAATTATACTTTTAGTTACCTTCAAATTCATCAATAAAGAATACAACAAAAATAATAAAATAAATAACAAATCACATGCTTTTAATCAACGGGAATGTACTCTAGAGTTTAGGTTAACATGGCAACTAAGCACTTTTTAAAATTATATATTTTTTTATTTCAGAGAAAAAGGGAGAGATAGAAAGAGATAAAAACATTAATGATGAGAGAGAATCATTGATTGACTGCCTTCTAGATGCCCCAATCTGGGGGTCAAGACTGCAACCCAGGCATATGCCCTGAATGGGAATTGATCTGTGACCTCCCGCTTTATAGATCAGTGATCAACCACTAACCCATGCCAGCTGGGCACAACTAAGCACTTTTAAAAAACAAGAAACCTGCCAGCTGTAATACAACAAAAATAGGCACAAAAATGGCTAATTCCAGAAGAAATATCAGGATTCAGAAAATATATAATAAAAAAAAAATCCTAATAGCCCTAGCCGGTTTGGCTCAGTGAATAGAGCATCGACCTGCAGACCAAAGGGTCTTGGGTATCATTCTGTTCAGGGGCACGTACCTTGGTTGCAGGCTCCTCTCCAGCCTGGGGCCCTGGTCGGGGCTCGTGAAGGAGGCAACCAATTAACACATCGATGTTTCTCTCTGCCTTTCCCTCTCTCTTCTACTCTCCCTAAAAATCAATGGAAAAATATCCTTAGGTGAGGATTAACAACAACAAAAAAATACTAATAAAAGATACACACACACACACACCCACACACACACACACACTAAGCGGTAATATGCAAATTAGCTAGGGGTCACAACCAGCTCAGGAGACTGCATCATGACTGCTAAGGGACTGTGTGTGGCCCCCACCCCAGCAGACACACACCAGGGGTGGGGGGGCATGCTCCGAGTGGCCGTGGCGCAGCTTGGCTCGGAGCATGACCCCAGTGGGTGGCTGGAGCAAAGCAGCCAGGTCCTGGGTGCCTGAGGGAAGCAGGAGCCGGCAACCAGGGGAAAGAAAGCCTATTCTTGCACGATTCGTGCATCAGGCCTCTAGTCCAATATAAATGTCTAAAAAGCACATTTGTAAATAAAATATGCTAACATTAAGTTTACTTAAAATAAAACATAAACCCATTTAAAGATATGGTATATGGTTTCTGAGCTAAATAATAAACATACTCATCTTGAGATGTGCACAGGTAAGATAACATTTAGTCTTTAAGATAAATTAATAATTTTATAATCTCCTAACTATATACCACTCAAGTTTTAGCCAATAAATATCATATTAAATATATAATTTTTCCTATGCTTAGATGACTTGACTTCAGAGTCTGCCTGTGGTCACTATCTCAAAGATGCAAAGACATACAAGGAGAAAGGAAGGGAATACAGAAAAGAAGGGAGGAAGAAGAAGGAAGGTGGGGAGAGAGAAAAGAGCAACAGAGCAGGTAAGCAAGCACAGGTCAGGGATCCAATACAGTATGCTGTATGAGCAACAACAGTCTCTTAGCTTTTAATACATGCTACATATGGCCGGCATAACTCAGTGATTGACCGTCAACATATGAACCAGGAGGTCACAGTTTGATTCCTGATCAGGGCACATACCCAGGTTGTGGTCTCAGTCCCCAGTAGTGGGCAGCCAATTCATTAGTCTCTCTCAGCATTGACATTTTTATCTTTCTCTCCTCCCTTCTTCTCTGAAATCAATAAAAAAATATTTAAAAATAACTTTAAAAAAAATCAATGGAAAATTATCCTCAGGTGAAGATTTAAAAAAAAGGAAATAAATGTCAGTTTAAACTGTACTTTTCCAGAGTAATTTTTTAGAACTAAAAGATCCCTATAAGTATTAATCAAGGAAACTCCTGACCTGTGGGCCACTCAAACCTGTGCAATAAAAGCAGCTTGCTTAAACTGTGTTTGATCCTAGTTGCAAGCAACACTTCCTCCAAAACTACCATCAACTGAACTGCAGTATGTGATGCTGAAAATCTCATAATCATATACATATATGACTATGAGAAAAAAAATGGAAAAGAGCTTTGATGTTCTCTCATCTCAACATAGGAATATCTTATTTATTTACTTACTTACTTACTTACTAGAGGCCCGGTGCACAAATTCTGTGCTCTTGGGGTGTGTGTGTGGGGGGGGGGAGCTGTGGGAGAGGGTGTGAGAGGGGATGTGTGCGTGCGCGCCCCTCAGAGAGGCGGGAGAGGCTCCTGCCACCGATTCTGTGCTTGCCAGCCAGGAGTGGTGCTCCCCCTGTGGGAGCACACTGACCACCAGGGCCCAGCTCCTACATTAAGTATCTGCCCCCTGGGGGTCAGTGCGCATCATAGCAACCAGCCATTTCACCATTTGGTCTATTTGCATATTAGGGTTTTATTAAATAAGATTTTTAATTTATTTCAGAGAGGAAGGGAGAAGGCAAGAGAGATAGAATCATCAATGATGAGAGTCACTGATCGGCTGCCTCCTGTACGGCTCCTACTGGGGATCAAGTCTGCAACTCAAGCATATGCCCTTGTCCAGAATCAAACCCACCACCTTTCAGTCCGCAGGTTGACACTCTATGCATTGAGCCAAGCCAGCTAGGGCAGGATATCTTTTAAAGGCCAGGTTTGTGTTTCTGCTTTCTGTGATATAGGAGTTTTGCTTTATTTTCTTTCTTAAAACGATACTAAAGTAACTTACCAAATACAAATATTCATAGTACTCACTAGATATAATTTCAGATTCATTTTAGAATACATGACTACAGTTAAGTTTTGGACATGGCACATGCAGATTGATTTTTTTTAAAATATATTTTTATTGATTTCAGAGAGGAAGGGAGAGGAAGAGATAGAAGCATCAATGATGACAAGGAATCATTGATTGGCTGCCTCCTGCATGACCCCTACTGGGGACCGAGCCCACAAGCCAGGCATGTGCCCTTGACCAGAATCAAACCTGGGACCCTTCAGTCCACAAGCTGAGGCTCTATGCACTGAGCCAAACCATCTAGGGCTCACATGCAGATTTAGAGAAAGACGATATGACTAAAATAATGAGGCTGTTTCTTGTGCCATATATAGACTCTGTTTTATTACTTCAAAATCCCTATTTACATTCTCTTTTACATACAAACTAGAGACCTGGTACATGAAATTCATGCACGTGTGCGGTTCTTAGGCCTAGCCAGCGACTGAAGCATGAGTCTAGCTTGGAAGAGCGGGTCCCAACTGACCTCAGGGCCCTGGGCAGCATCTGGGCCCCCACACGCCCCACTCTGCCTGAGTCACAGCGCCTGAGTCCCCACGCAGTGATGCGGTGAGCAAGGCCGGAAGCCACAGGTCAGGGTGCAACGTGGGCCTCTGGGCCACTCAGTGGCACCACATGGAAGCCAGGCAGGTAGCGTGCTCGCTCCCTGCCAGCCTCGCAGACCACCAGCTCCTGCGCAAATCCATGGGGAGCTTGACCAACCCATGTGGTCCTAGCAGCTGTGAAGCAGGCTCCTCACGGACGCTGGCCCTGAGTGTGGGGGTTTCCCTGGCACACCAGCCCTGGCATTCCAGGTGAAGGTAGCAGGGGGAGTGAGAGCGAGCTCGGCAGACACCTCACATTCTCACTGCACCTCCATCCCCATCACCCCAGCCCCCGGGTAGCTGGTGAGAGGTCAGCGTTGCTGATGCCTGCTATGTTCTGCATGGGCCCCTGCTAGTCAGTGCACATCATAGTGAGCAGTCAAACTCCCAGTCAAAGCAACAATTTGCATATTAGGCTTTTATTATATAGGACTACAGGCCCAGTGTAGGAAATGTATGCACTGGTAAGGTCCCTAGCTGGCCTGGGCCTCCCTTTCCCCGATGCCTGTTGCCACTGCTGGCCAGGGTGGGGCTGGCCAGGGAGAGGGGTTGTGGGCAGTTGACCAGCTGGTCCTGCCCTCTGGTCAAACTCCTGGTTGAATTCCCAGTCTAGGGGACAACTCCATATTAGGCAATACAAGTAATGCTCACAGAGTTACTACTATAAATCTAGAAAAACATCTTTTTTTTTTCTTTAAATATATTTTTTATTGATTTTATACTGAGAGGAAGGGAGAGAGATAGAGTTAGAAACATCGATGAGAGAGAGTCATCGATCAGCTGCCTCTTGCACACCCCCTACTGGGGATATGCCCGCAACCAAGGTACATGCCCTTGACCGGAATTGAACCCGGGACCCTTCAGTCCCCAAGCCAACGCTCTATCCATTGAGCCAAACCAGTCCCGACTAGAAAAACATCTTTTTTATACTATGTGGTTTTAGGCATAATTTCCACCATAAATATCAGTAAAGAATTTATAGTTTGGGTCTTAGATAACAGAGTATTTAAAAGCTTTTCTAAGTGAGTTAAGCTATCATTATCCCTTTCAGAAAAATTCAGGCCAAACAGACTCTTCATACTAAAAAAGAAGTCTTAGAAGTCATCTAAAATAATGACTTCTAATGTTTGGAGCATGCACCTCAATGTGTACATAAGACAATCCATTGGGATACAGGAAAAAACTACCTGTAAAACAGGAGTTTTAAAAAGTTGAGATTATACATAACGTCTGAAGTCTACTATAGTTATTTACAAAAATATCTAAAATTATATATGAAAACGTTAACTTATAAGTACACTAGAGGCCTGATGCATGAAATTCGTGCAAGAGTAGGCCTTCCTTCCCCCAGCTGCTGGAACCAGCTTTCCTCTGGCACCTGAGACCAGGGCTTCCCTCGAAGACCCAGCTTTGTCTGGAAGGACATCCAATCTAATTAGCATATTATGCTTTTATTGTTATAGATGCCAAATTATTTTGCTGAGCAGTCCAAGTAATCAAATAAATTTGTAGAATATTGATCTAGAGTTCAACCTTACTTTCAATCCTTTCATTCATACTTTGAACCCTTTTAGAGATGAGGAAGAGTAGCCATTACAGACAGTCCTCGGGCTATGTCAGACTCAACGTATGTCGTT